TTGACTTTTCATAATTGTATCCCTTTAATTTCCTGCTTTTCTCTCATTGCTCTGGTTAGTGCTATGAGCACTACATTGAAGAGTGGGGATGGTGGACAGCCCTGTCTTCTTACTTGTTTTAGTGGAATTGCTTAGAGATTTTTCTCCATTGAGGATGCTATTAGCAGTGTGTTTGCCAAATATAGCATTTTTCTATTCTTTCTAGGTTTTTTTTTTATTATGAAGGCATGTCAGATTTTCTCAACGTTCTTTTCCGCATCTATTTAGATGATCATGTGTGTTTTGTATTTAGCCCATTTGTATGATTTATTGTGTTTATTGATTTATGTATGTTGAACCATCCCAATATCTCTAGGATTAAGCCAAATTGATCGTGGTGGATGATCTTTTTATGTATGCCTGTTTTCAGCTTGCAAGCATTTTATTGAGGATTTTTGCACCTATGTTCATCAAGAATATACTAGCCTGTAGTTTTCTCTTTTTTGCTGTGTCTTTACCTAGTTAGAGGATAAGAGTGATATTGGCTTCATAGAAGGAGTTTGAGAGTATTACTTCTGTTTATTTTTCTAAAAAAATAAACTTAAGCATTGTCCAGTAAAATTCCACTGTGAATCCATCTGACTCTAGACTTTTTTAGTCAGAAGGCTTTTCATTGTTGTTTCCACCTCCTGTTTTTCTTATGTTGAGGGTGTTGGCCCCTTTTTGGCTTAATTTTGGAAGTTTGGATGAACCTAGAAATTCATCCATTTTTCTTAGACTTTTCTAACTCAATGGAGTACAGGATTTTAATGTATTCCCACACAGTATATTTAAATTTCTTTGGTGTCCATTGTAATGTTCGCCTGTTCGTTTCTGATTCTGTTAATTTTTGTCCTCTCCTTCTTTCTTTTGGGTAGTTGGGTCAAGGGTCTGTTCCTGTTCTTTCAGATTCTTGAGCTCAGGCATGCTCTTACTGATTTTTCTGATTTTTTCATGTAAGCAATTAGAGATGAAAGCTTCCATTCTTAGACTGTTTTCAGTGTGTCCCAGCAGTTTTGTTGTGTTGTGTTTTCATTTCAGTTAATTCCAGGATTCCCACGATTCTTAAATTTACTTTTTTTTTCTTCTTTGACCCATTAATCACTCAGTAATACATTGTTTAATTTCCTTGTGTTTTTGTATTCATTTGTTGTTGATTTAAGCTTCACAGCATTGTGGTCAGATAGAATACACAGTTATTGCAGTTTTTCTCAATTTGTTAAGATTTGTTTCCTATCTCAAGATGTGGTTGATGTTAAAGAAACTCCCATCACCTGCTGAGCAGAATGTATATTCTTTGGTATTTAGACGGAACACTATAAATAGCAGTTAGGTCCATATAGTGTATAATGTCATTTCGTTCTGAGGTTCCTCTGTATATTTTTGTTCAGATGACTTGTCTGTTGGAGAATGTGGGTATTAATTACTCAGAGTTCATCTGTGTCTTTAAGTCCAGTAGTACACTTTTTATAAAATTAAATGCATATATTTTTAGGGTTTTAATGTCTTCTTGGCTAATTCCCTTAATAAAATCAACTGACATTCTTTATCTCTTCTTATTTATTTTAAGCCTGAATACAATGTGACATTTGCTTATTTACTGGGCCCATTTGCTTGGAGTACTTTTTTCACCCTTTCACTTTTAAGGTAGAAAGATGAGTTTCTTGTAGACAACAAGAAGATGCATTTGCCTCTTAATACATTTGGCCAGCCTGGGCCTTTTGATTAGGAAGTTGAGGCCATTCATATTTAAAGTTATTGTTAAAAGATATATGATGCTGCATTTGGGGACAACTTTAATCCTATTACTCTGAAGGCAGAGACAGACAGACCTCTGGGAGTGCAAGGCCAGCCTAGGCTACATAGTGAGACCTTGTTGTCTTGAAAAAAAAGGAGGAGAAAAGAAGATGAAAGAAAGGTATGTGTTGATGCTGCCTGTGTGTGTGTTTGTAGTCCTATTTTATGTTTCAGTAATTATACTTTTGTTTCCTTTCTATCGTGTATTGGCTATGCTTATTTCTCTACTCAGCCCAAAGTATCACTTCCACTATTCTCTGTATCATTGGTTTGGTGGACATGAATTATTTTAGCCTGTTCATATAATATTGGAAAGGTTCTCTCTCTCTCTCTCTCTCTCTCTCTCTCTCTCTCTCTCTCTCTCTTCTTCAACTATGTCAAATAGCTTTTCTAGGTATAGTAGCCTGGTTGGCATCTTTGATCTATCAAAACTTGAAGTACATTGTTCCAGGGCGCTCTGGCTTTTGATGCTTCCACTGAGAAATCAGCTGTTATTCTGGGTTTCCTTTCTGTGTGACATGATTTTTCTCTTGCAGTTTTCAATACCCTCTCTTTGTTCTGTATTTTTAGTATTTAACTATGCTGTGCTGTGGGGAGTTTCTTTTCTGGTCCTGACTATTTAGTGTTCTGTGTGTTTCTTGTATCTGTATGGGAGTGTTTTTTCCTTGGTTTGGGGCGTTTTCTTTTATGGTCTAGTTAAAGATTTGGAATTGACCTGGAATTCTTCTCTTCCATCTACACCTACAATTCCAAGATTTTGTCTTTCCATAGTGTCTTGAATCTCCTTTATATTTCTTTTGAATGTTTTAAAGTTTGTTAATATTCTTTGCCTGAGTCATCTAGCATCTCTGCTTTATATTCAAGTCCTGATATTCTGTCTTCTACTTGCTCTGTTCTACTTATAAAGCTTTCCAATGCATTTTCTAACTAGGTTATTGAGTTTTTCAATTATGTCTTTACTTCTGCTTGAGCTCTCTTTCGATATTTCTATCTCTTTATTCAACTTGAGTTTTAAAACCTAAATCGTCTTCATCATTTCATTCAGCCATATGTTTGTGCTTTCTTAGAGATAATATTCATTGCTAATCTCTTTACAGTTATTGGGCTGTTTATGTTTTGTTTAAATTCTTTCCTTTTTTTTTTTCTTCTCCTTTTTCAAACCAGGTTTTTCCTGGACTTACTTTGTAGGCCAGGCTGGCCTAAAACTCAAAGAAATCAACTTGCCTCTGCCTCCCGGAGTGCTGGGATCACAGGCGCACACTACCATGCCCAGCTTCTTTGCAATTTTTGATGAGTTTCATATTTGTTCTTGCAAATTCTGTGTCCTAAAGTTCATCTAGGTAACTTGGGGGGGGGTGGATTTTGTTTGGTTGGTTTGTTATTGTGTCCCCACCCCCAAGACAGGGTTTCTTTGTGTAACCTTACTGTCCTGAGCTCACTTTGTCGATCAGGCTGGCCTCAAACTCACAGCAATCAGCCTGCCTCTGCCTCCCTGAGTGCTGGGATCAAAGGTGTGCACCACCACACCCAGCTCCTCTAGGTAATTCATATTGAAGAATGTTTTTTTGGTGTATTTGGGGAGTATGGTGACTGACATACTTTGCTGGCCCTTCATACTGTTTGTGGTTTTTTGTGAGAAGACCTGGACATACAGACTTCCATGGTCACGGTTTGGTTACATGTCTGATATGAGGTTCTCTGGGAGAAGCAAGCCTGGTTTTTGGCTTGCTTGTGGGTTTTTGTTTTCTGATGTCGCCCAGGCTTGGCTGGTTTCAATCAATCAGAGCTGAGGAGCTGGCAGGCCACTCCTCCCGGTGTTTGGTGGTAACTTTGATTGGAGGGATGGGGTGATTCCAATTAAAGAGTGACCAAAAAGAGCATGCAATAGGACAGATGGCTGGATCTATTTAGGCTTTTGTACCTGATTTTTGCCAGGGGGTGTGACAGTGGCCTGTGTGGGGTCTTGGACACACACCAAGCTAAGTTGACATACAAGCTGTGAGACCAGGGTGAGGCTTAAGGTTTGGGGATGGTGTGGACAGTCAAGGATCCAGGAACTCACCAGGCTTCACTGGAGCACAAATGTACCTCCCTCCCCAATCTAGGTTACAGGATGGCTGAGGCACAAGCTTCCTTGGGTCTTTGAGACTTACCAGACTGGACCAGTATACAGGATGTCCAACCTGGGCTAAATTTGAAGCTGGGTGTGGCATGGGTGGGCTCTCATCCAGTGATCCACCAGACTGAACTGGAGCACAGAAAGTGTGGCCCATGCTAGGTTTGGAGGTTGGGTATGGTGCCAGGGAATTGAGAGGGCACTTGGGTCAGGTGGGCTCAGCAGGCTAGGCTGGTACACAGGCTGGGGCTACTGGACCGGAGCCTGGAGGTTGGGAAGGGTACGGGGGGGACCTGGTACACAAGATGTGAGACTGACTGGTGACTGTGGAGGGGACAGGTGAGCTGGGGTCAGGCAGACTCAACAGGATAAGGCTCTGACCTCTCCCTGCACCATTAGCCATCTACCTTGGTCGTCAGTGTTAGTGGCAAGGCCTTGTCCTGCTTTGAGATCTTTGTGTCACCCCTTAATAAGGACAATGGTAACAGGCTTGGGCCCAGTTCCCGCATAAGGCACCCACCTCACTGCCCCGCACGCACACAGTGGAGAACTCTGTTGAGACTGAGGAGTAATAAGAAGCAGTTCATGTTTCCCCTGTGAACTGGCACGCTGTGGTCACCAGGGCCTGGAGAGCAACGGTAAAGTCGGATGGCTTCATCACCTTTGCTCAGCATCTTCTGCATCAAAGACGAGGGAAAGACCATGCCACATCTCCAGCACGGAGCCCCGTGCCCAGCCCAGCACTGCACCACCAAACAGGGTTTTTAATGGGACAGCGAAGCCAGCCGTTACTGTGCATGCTCTGGCTTTACAGCGAGACGCAGACGCAGGAGCCTCTCATAAAGGTCTCTTCCAGAACCCATATGTATTGATCTTCTTGTTGGGTTTATGGGAGGGCGCAGTGTGTTCTGCTCTCATTTGCAGTCTGGGCCTGCCCAGCCCAGCTTCCTAGCCTGTGGCCTGAGCATGCATGTCTGAAGGAATTCCGTGTCCCTGAAAAGGTGACTTGGGCTTATGCAGACAGACAAGAGCCTCCAGTGACACCCTCCTCTTCTCTCTGCCCATCAAGCCTGAACCTGAGCAACAGCGATATCCTGACCATCTATGATGGGGATGAGGTTGTGCCCCACGTCCTGGGCCAGTACTTTGGCAACAGCAGTCCTCAGAAGCTGTACTCCTCCACACCGGACCTCACCATTCAGTTCCACTCGGACCCTGCCGGCCTCATCTTTGGCAAGGGCCAGGGATTTATCATGAACTATATAGGTAGGTGTCTCAACCCATCACTTGCGTTTGTGTTGGAGGAATGGCATGGTGGTTGCCTGTGGGTACACCTGTGCAGATGCTTTGTGGCTGGTGAGTGTGTTAATACACTGGCATAGTTGTCACATGGGGTTTTAAGAGGATAAGCTCTTCAGTCATGAGGACTCGTGTGATGTGGAAACATTGAGGAAGTGAATGTGAGCGCTTATTAAATGAGGCCTCATAATACTAAGACATTTGTATTCTGTTGCTTGTCTGCTGTGTCTACATGCCCACTTTCCTCTATTTGCACCTCCTCAAACCTCATCTGCACTCTGTCTCCTGACCTAAAGCCAGTTCTCCCTAAGGATACCTTTTCAGCTGAGTGTCTGAACAGCTCAGCTCTGCCTAGCCTCCTTCACACCCTCCAGGGCCTGGACACATAGCAGGGTGTATTTTCCTTGGTTCTCAGTGTGACTGATGAACGCTCTATAAAACAAAGTAAGAAAGTAACATATGATCAAGTTCAAGGCCAGTTCACAGGGTACTCTCTACCACTACCACCGTCCCCCTCCCTACAATCAGCAACAACAGCAGCCCCGGCCCCATCACCACCACCACCACCACTGTCATCACCACCACTATTTCCGCAACTACAGTAACCACCACCACTCATACAACCACAATCACCAAAACCAGGCCCCCAGCTATAACTACCACAACGTACACAATCACCAACACCACAACCACAACACCTATACCAATATCACCAGTACTATGGCCACACCCATTATTGCCACCATCACCACCATCACCACCACTATCACCATCATGACCACCACCAACAGCCACAGTAACAGAAATGCCCTTTTCTAGGAAATGGGACAATAACTTCCCTGTTTTTCAGGCAACCTCTTCTTTCCTCCATCCATCCATATTCTCTACTTTCACAGCATGTCTCAGATCCAAGCACATCTCTACATCCTTCCAGGAACACTCAATTCACCATCATCCACAGCAGTCAGGAAAGTAGGGCACCATGACATCCTGCTTAACCTAGCCCTGAAGAGGCTTGGGCAACCAGCTGGGTTTCTGGTCCGACCCTGTCCCTGGTGTGGCAAAAGCAGCCCTGGATCCATGAGGATGGGGAATTTGTGCATCATGACAGAGCTGAAGGGTATACCCAGGTAGCCTCATTCCCAGTTCTTTCAGTCCCTCATTCTATGATGTTCTTGGTAGACACACAGAACCTGATGGTGCAAGGGATGATTAACGCATGACTTCCGATGTCCAGGATGGCGGGACACCTGCTCATCCTGGTAACGAGATTAAGCTGGTGGTTATGTTCCATGCTGGCTCCTCCCAGAAAGTAGCTTGGCATCTTAATTTTCAAGATGCAGCATGAAAACAAAGGACTCATCCCAACATTTCTACCACAAAATCCCTAGGGATAGATAGATAAAGATTCCACATCTTTAACCTAGGACATTTCTGGCCTCTATATAACACCAACTTTTTTGTCTTCTCTTCTCCTGGTATCTAAGTTGACAAGGCATGCTTCTGACTGCCAGCACCCCAGGAGCCTGGCACATGCTCAGATAAGGAATTGCTTTTAGCTTCCCAGCTGGTGAGCAGCCTTCACCCCGGTCTGCTCTCCCCTCCCCATTACCCTTTCCCAGAGGCTAACGCAGCCATCCATCCTCTCCATTCTGCTTCTTGGGTGTCTTTGTTGTCCCTTCACTGTGCTGCAGATGTCTGGGATGTTACTGCTGTTGCTCCTGAGTTCTCCCGGGGCACACATGGATGCCCTTCTCATCAGCACCCTTTGGGGAAAGGGGTTCTGATGGCTTCTCGCCTATCTGTCTCCAGAGACTCCCTCTGCCTCCTGGCTGGAAGATGAAGTCATCCTATGGTCCCTTTATTGAACGGAACAGCCATCAGTGGGATGGCAAAGATCTGACTCCATAGAAGGCTGATCAGGGTGACCCCAGCATCTGACCAGTGTTCTCTGAACACTTTCTGTTCTTAAAGAAGTGTTCTTGTACACTGAACTTGAAGTTCAGGACTGGCAAGCCCTTTCATGCTCATTCCTCACAGTTTGGGGTAATCAATGAACTCCAACCTAAGGGACAGCATCCCCCGTGGTGCTGTACTGAAGACGAAATGATTGATTAGTGATGTCTGCTATGAACAAGAAATTGGCACATGGTGCTGCATGTTTGATACTTCTGGGCATTTCTTTTGCCCGGAGGTTGGTTAGACCCTCATGCTAGCTTGACCATGAACTTGAAGCCATGATTTCAGATTCTTAGTGCCTGCTAAGGTCTTCACAGACCCATGATCAAATACACAGAGGGATTCATACATCTCACCATGTCATATAACCATGTCTGTGTTCGTTAACCCTCACATTGCCGTGTGGGATAGACAGCCTCATGATTCTTGACCTCCTCCTGCAGTTGAAGACAGTGAAGCTGAATGTGTGTGTGTCAAACACAACTGAAGCTGCATGGCTTCTTTAAAGAGAGGAAGGACCAGGAAGGACTCTGGTTTTGTCAATAGAGTGCTACCTGGCATGTATAAAAACCTAAGAGCCAGGCATGATGGTATATGCTTTTAATCCTAGCATTCAGAAGACAGACACATTGTGAGTTCAAGACTAACCTGGTCTATATAGCAAGTTCCAGGCCAAGCAAGGCTGCATAGTGAGACCTTATTTTTAGAAGAAAGGAGGGGGAAAAAGACACTCAGGAACCCCTGGGTTTCATCCTGGCACTTCATAAATGACCTGGCATTGCAGAGCTAGAACCCCAGCACTCAGGAAAATTAGTGGTTTGAGGTCACCTTCGGATATACAGTGAGTTCAAGGCTGAAAGAGGCTCCAGGAGACTTCATGAAAGTAGAAGAGAGTGAAAAAGAGAGGGAGGGAGGAAGGGAAGAGGAAGGAAAGGAGAGAGAGAGGGAGGAGGAAGGGGTCCAACTATCAGACCAGCCTCTGTGTACAGCAGGGTTAACAAGAGTCCATGGGGATGAGCAGTTCTGGTGCCTCCATGCTGCCTGCTGGAGAAAAACAGAATTCCCATGTAGCAGCCTCTGGGAACTGAATGGCAAGGGCAGGTGACTCAGCCATGGCTACCCAGGTAGAGAATGGTGCCAACTAAGTCATCTCTGAACATGACCCCTGCCACAGGAGAAAGAGTTCTGGGGGTGGCATGGCAGCTCCCACTAAGGGCCAGACAAACAAACCTATTCCCTCTGCAGATATTTGGCCAGAGAAAGCCCACAGCACCTACCCATCTCTCCTTTTCCATCCATCTTCCAGCATGTGCAGCTGAGTCCCAAATCCAGGGCTTGGCTGATTTTTCAAAGACCTAAAAATAGCCCTCCCCCCAATCCCCAATCCCTTGCAGGCAACTCTAGAAGCAGTTTCCGTGTCCTCTTCCTGTAGACAGCTGAGAGAGGTCCTTTCTCCAAATAAAACTGAACTGAAATCCTGGGGAGAGCCCCTGCTGGCTGCTTGGGGTGGCTTTCCTCGGGCAGTCAAGGATCCTCGGGCTGTCATGGATGCCACTGTCCCTAGGACATGAAACTCCTCACTGTGCACTCTGACACAGGATGGTAAGAGTTGGATTATCACCTCAGTGACAGGGCTTTATAGGAAGACGAGAGGACCCCACCAGCAGACAGCTCAGAAACGCCTTTGGGAGTCCCAGATTTTGGCAAACGTTCTCCAGCAGTGTGCAGCGGCGGCCGGCCGTCGCTTGTGGTAAACTACTGTCTCGCTGTGGATCAGTTCCCCACAGGGGCAGGAGGCAGCAACACTACAAGAGACTCTAAGTCTTAATCTGCTCTCCCCAAACCTAAGGAAGATGTCTTTGTTTTAAAGAGGTGTCACGGAACGACTCCTGCTCAGACTTGCCTGAAATCCAGAACGGCTGGAAAACCACTTCCCACACGGAACTAGTCAGGGGAGCCCGGATCACATACCAATGCGACCCCGGCTATGACATCGTGGGGAGTGACACTCTCACCTGCCAATGGGACCTGAGTTGGAGCAGTGACCCCCCATTTTGTGAAAAAAGTAAGAGTCGTTTTTTGTTTGTTTGTTTGTTTGTTTGTTTTCTTCTCCCTAAGTCATTGGGTAGAAAGTCCCTCCCAAGGGCACACGCCACATGGAATCACTTGTTTAAGGTAGGAGGTGGCTTCCTTTCCTAGTTTTAGTGACACCCCAGGCTCTGGCACCTCTGGCCTGACAGAAGTGCAAATAAATAGAGTACACTGGGTGGAGGGTGAAGGTGGGGCCTGCTGTGGAGCCTGAGGGAGAGCAATGCTGATCTTTAGAGGGCCTGTACAGTCGAGAGAGGAAGTCAAATCCCTCCGCAGGCAGCCAGCCTCCTTCCCCCTGGCTCCCAGGTGCTGCCCCCAGGAGGACCGGGCAGGCATGAGTAGGCAGCTGTGCTCCCGTCCTCAAAGGGGGGCAGGAAAGGAGGGGCTGCTGCCTTCTTGGTGATGGCTAGCTGCATGGATGGACGGATGGACAGAGGATTGACAAACGGGTGGACAGACAGACAGACAGATGTCGTACAGGCAGAAACAGCTGCCGATGGGCATTCCACGCGAAGGGACGCAGCTGTCCACGGCGGCCCTGACTGAGGGTGGCGGCCAGCTTTCACATCGCTCAGCTGTTGCCCTCCTTCCTTCTTAATTAGTTTACTGTTTCCCGTTTATCTGTATCGATTTTTTTAATGAGAGGGCGATTGATGCCTGTTTTCTAGTGTCAGGCGTCAGAGGGAAGAGGGGCAGCCCTCGCTTTGTTCCTCCCTCTCTGGCCATCGCTCAGGATGTCATGGAATGTGTGCTCGAACTGAGCCCTCCCCTCCCTACGGTGCTACCCCAATGCTGCCCACTGTGTTCAACACCCACATGCTCCCCCTCCTCACAGTGCTCCCCTCCTCACAGTGCTCCCCCCTCCTCACAGTGCTCCCATCCTCACAGTGCTCCCCGCCCATGCTCACCCTCCTCAGGGACGATTTATACCTTAGCTGTAGGTTCGGAGCCTGGTGAGAGACTCTTGGGGCACATTTAGGACTAAGGTTCAGGTCTCTCCCCACCTGACCTGCTCTCCAGACCCCTCTGTGAATCTGTGGACCACGTGGGCCCTAAAGAGCACCGCGTGAGCCTTTCCGGGGCCTCCCGGAAGTCGTGCTGAGCTGTGGCGTCACGGCGTCCCTGTGCTCCTCCTCCGCAGTTATGTACTGCACCGACCCCGGGGAGGTGGAGCACTCCACCCGCCTCATCTCGGACCCTGTGCTGCTGGTGGGCACCACCATCCAGTATACCTGCAGCCCCGGCTTCGTGCTGGAAGGGAGCTCGCTCCTCACCTGCTACAGCCGCGAGACGGGGACTCCCATCTGGACGTCGCGCCTGCCCCACTGTGTCTGTGAGTCCAGGGGGTCGTTGTCTCGGGCTCACTTCCTGCCGCAGAGTGCCCCCTGAGGGGAGGCGTCACGCTGCATGCTTGTGCTGTCCCCGCCACACGCACACACCACACACAGGCCTAAGTGCTGCAGGCTCTTACGTGAAGGCCTCAGGCAGACCCGGCGGCCCTCCGCCAAGCTTCCCTCACCTCTCTCTCGAGGACCTTGCTGTATTAGGAAGGGGGTTCTGGAGCTGGAGGGATGGCTCAGTGGATGAAGCACCTGCCGTGCAAACCCGAGGGCCAGAGTTTGAATCCCAGCACCCCCCTAAACACGGGGCTGAGCTTCTAGCTAGGTGAGTGGAACAGAGCTGGGGGTTCAGAGAGAGGGGCCGCCTCAGCAAGGTGGTAGAGGAAGGCGCCCGGCCGACATCGACCTCTGGCCTCCGCACACATGCCCACATCCGTGCCTCCTCAGACACACACGTGTGCGCCCACGCGGTGCAAACACGCTCATGCTGTGACACACATATACATTAAACAAGGAGGGAGAGAGGGAGAGTTAGGAGGAAGTGTGGTGCGCGCCTGTCTTCCCTCTGGGGCGGCCGAGGCTGGAGGACTCAGAGTGCAGGGCTCGGCTAGCTTTACAGAGAGACCTTATCTGGGAGATGGGGCAGGGGAATACTAATTTTCGGAAAGGCCTTGGCCGCCAGCTCGTTAAGAGTTTTGTTGCGAGGCCAGGCTTCCGATGAGCCCCAGGAGTCCTGCTCAGCAGTGCTGCCCACAGCAGGACTGACCAAGGCAGTGCGTGCAAGGCCCGGGATTGTATGGCAAGAAGAGAGCTTCCCACACCACTGAGGTCTAAAACAGTCATGTTCCCGGCATTCACGCTGGGTGTCTTACAACTGCCTGTACTAGCTCTGGGGGGTGACAGAAACACTTGTGACAGATGCACACACACACTTAAATTCTAATATAAACAGTCACCTGTGCAGAGACTTTAGAACAATAGGCTGGAAAGAGGTCACTGAGGAATGTGGGCAGTGAGACCCCAGAAAAGGCCTCAGGAGTCCGGGAGGACCCAGGAACTAACATGTAAGTGAAGAAGAGGGGGGGACAGAGCCCTGGCAGTGGACAGCTGGTGGCCCAGATGCTTCTCCTCCAAGGAGAATACATTCTGCAACCTGTGAGCCAGGCCTGTCCCTCCATGACATCAGCAGCAGGCAGCTGCACCAGCAGACAGGCCCCAAGCCACCGGAAAGCAGGGCGGCTGCCCACGGGTATAGCTGTGTGCCTTGCCTTGGGCAGCGAACTGCTGCCTCAACTGCTCTGTTCCTGTAAGGAAAAAACCAAAAACAAAAAAAACAATCTGAGGTGTGGCCCTTCTGATAGAGAAGGGCGAGCAGTCAAGGAAGGAGTTCCCATCTCTTCAATCGATCGTGACCTCGATCCTGCTGGTGTGCACAGGATGCAGACATGTGCTAATCACAGACCGATGCGTAGATGTGCTAATTACAGAAAGCTGAGACTTCCAGGATGTAGTAGCCTGCGTTGCTGTAGCTAGACACCTGAGGTGGATTGATTTGGAAAGAAAAAAGGGATTCGTTGAGCCCCCAGCCTGTAGGTTCTTGTCCAAGGGCAGTTGATGTGCAGTTTGCTAGAGTTTGTGGTGAAGCAGCCAGCTGGGGCCAGGGTCCCTTTAAAGGTACAGCCAGATGACCCCAGCGCCCACAGTGCCACCCTGAGGGACAACGCTCAATGCAAAGACCTCTGAGGGGCACTCAGCATCAGAGATGGTGGGAGCGACAGCCTCCAGAGCCCAGGGCACAAGCTTCTGCCAGCGACACCCCAGTGCTCAGAAACCCCATTCATGCAACCAAGGCAGCAGAGACTCTAGGTGAGAAGATGGGGGGAACCAACCATCTCCAAAGACAGCCCTCCCAGGCCTCAGGTCCTCAGACCTGGAGCTTCCTCCACTGGGACCAACATTCCTGGAAATCACAGGTGCAGGACTGAATGGAGCCGGCTTCCCTGACACCCACACTAAAGAGCTCCCGAGTCACAGTAGGTGTTAAGACTCTAGGAGGCTCTGGGAGGACCTGAGGAAGGGGGTGGGGAGGGGTGGAGCAGTCTCAGTGGAGGAGGAGAGGGGGCAAGTTCCTTCTCATGATCTCCAGCATGGGAGGCTGAAAATCAAATTGGACCAAGTTGAGGGCCAGAGTATCACCAGGCCTGGATTAGAGCTTGGCCACTTCCTCCTGGTGAGACACTTGATAAATGAGCTGCCTGGGCCTCAGTTTATTCATCTATGAAATGGCAATGCGGTGAGTTGTTGACAATGGATGCCAACTCCCCAGAAAGCCCGTCTCTGCTGGCTTATAGTTGAACAGCTGTGGCAAGTGAGGCCATGGTTCTTTGCCACAGATAAGGGAGGAAGACAACTGGATCTGTGTCTTAGGGGGTCACTGGAAGACCCTATAAAGAAACCATTTCTGATCCATGGCAGTGCACACCTATAATCCAGCACTGCTGAGGCAGGAGGATTGCAAGCTTGAGGCCAGCAGGAGCTACATAGCAGCAAGACCCTGTCTCAAAACCAACCAACAAAGCTGGTGCAGGATGCTGCTCGGAGTAGATACGTGCATTGTTGTCAGGGCTGTGGGACCTCGAAGGCTCACCTTGGGTGTCCTCTATCCAAAACAAACGTTCAGATATGAACAAAGTGACAAAGTAACCCACTAACCGCACTGTGATGTCACCCCTTCTCTGTGGATCCAGCTGGATTTGCAGCCACCTAGGAGACACACCTCTGGTCATGTCTGTGTGGAGTTTCCAGAGAGAAGACGTTGTCACCATGAATCCTAGGCGTGTGTGGCACCATTCCACAGACTGGAGCCCCAGGCTGAATAAAAGGGGGATCTCATCCCTTTGCCTCCCGAGTGTGACCCGCTGCCTCATGCTCCTGCCTCCATGCTTTCCTCGCCCTGGTGGCCTGCAACCCTGAGCTGTGAGCCGGAACAGACCCTTCCTGAGCAGCTTTGGTCAAGGGTTGTGTCGCAGAAAGTGGAAATCGAGTAACAACCACATCAGCACTGTAGCTCTCGATGGACCTTTCAGAACAGCATCCTGCAGGCGTGGCAGTCCCCACCTGCCATCCCAGCATGTGGGGTGAGACTCCAGGGTTGTGGAGTCATGTGGTAATTCGAGATAGAAAAGTCCCGAAAGATTAGAGCAATCGCCTGGGGTGTCACTGCCATCTGCTGGTCATTTCTGGGTACTACATGAATTGCATGGGACTTTCAAGGCACCCCAGAAACCAGCCCCAGCTAGCTCATAGCTCAGGCCGGGGTACAAGTCAGCTGTCTACCAGGCCAGCAAAGGAACTCGGGATAAAACCCAGTCCTGATGTGTTTCCAGAGTGGCGTGAATACCTGGTAGCGGCTGCAGACCTTCAGGTGGGCAGAGCCTGACGAACTTTCTGCACTGTGGTGATGCAAGCCAGAAAGATGAAAACCAGCACCTGAGCTGAGCAGCACAGCTTATCCTCTCTGCCCTGGGGCAGGGCTAAAGTGGGAAGCTGCCCTGGGCTACAGAGAGAGACCCAAAGGCTGGGGGGCTGTAAGCCACTGGTCGGGCAAGTGCTTAGAGTACCTAAGATTCAGAAAAGAAACTGAAAACTAAGTTTAAAAGTTCTCCCTCCCACAAGCCCAGGCACAGTCCCTGTCTCTTGCCGGGCCTCCAGCCTCGCCCATGTACCTGTAATGCAAGGGGTCCTCACGGTTTCCCAGCACTGACCTGACTGTGGACTTGGTTGCAAGTCTCAAACTGTGTGCAGAGCCAAGGGCGAAACTGAAGTCTATGGGTGACTTTGACTTCACAGGACAGTAGCATAGCCATGCCTGGTCCTCATGAGTCCCTCAGCTCCTCTGGGGAGCTGCACTGGTCTGCACCCCTGCCACTTCTGTGACACCCCTCCTCTAGTGGAAGGAGGACTCTCCAGCACACCAGTCTGCATCCGTCTCCTGCACCCACCGTTTGGCATCAGGCCTCCTGCTTGCGTGTCTGGTGGACTCATGAGAACGTGGAGTGTACACAGTCTCAAGAGCAGGACCCACTGCCATCTCTCTGCAGGTCCCTAGGCTCTAGGGAACAGGAATGAGTGCTGCCGGGACATGTCCACACTGTCACTGTCATTTGAGATACATCTTGCAAGATACACCTCCAAAAGTATGATGGCCTGGGAGCCCTTTCTGCCAGCTGACCTCTGGGCGGGCTGCATGTCAGGTGTTGGGGTTTAATGACAATCGCCCCAATGTCAGGGGTGAGAGCCAGGTATCCACCCAGCCAGCCATGTCAGATTCTTCCCGGTGCCGAGACACATCCCTCCATTCATTTGTTTTCTCTCTGGGAAACTGGGACTCTGGACTGCCTACAGGGATCAGCAGATAATGGCTGTGAGATAACAGGGCTGACAAGACTGTAGTTAAACAGCATAAGCGCTGCTTAGCCCCAGCAGGTCACTGCCACCTGACCACCAGCCCGGCCACCTGACCACCAGCCTAGCCAGCCTAGCAGAGATCCAGCCTGTGGTGGACACACCCTGACTCCTGACACCTCAAAGCCACAGCGGGACTCATCTACACTGTGCTAGTGACTAACAGTCTCTAGTCTAGCCTCAGTCCCATGGGGCCAAGCTTAGATTTGTTTTATTTACTTCTGTGAACAATTAGGACAAAATGCCATCATGAAAAGGAAAAAGGGCTGACTCCAGCTTACAGTGGAGGGGCTTCAGTCCACCACGGCAGGGGTAGGGGAGGCCGAGGGGGAGAAGGGGGAGGGGAGAGCATTGTATCTGCAGACAGTGATCAGGAAATGGGGCCAGATATAAAACCTCAAGGCCCGCCCCCCAGAGACACATGTCCGCAATGAGGCTTCACCTCTTAAAGGTCTCATGGCTTTCCCTGTCAGCGCTCATAGCCAGGCAACAAGTGCTGAGTCACAGGAGCCTGTGGGCAACACTCCACCTTCGACCGTGTGTGCTGGCACGTGGTAGGCGCACAGGGTGCGTTAGTTGACTGAATAACTGTTTCCTGTGAACCCAACCCTGTGCTGGGTGCTGGGATCCTGAAATGAGCACAGCAGAAGACTGAGTTCCAGGAAGCGGGAGCAATGAAGAGAACACACCACCACCCACCCCTCCCTGACAGTGCTGGAGGACATTACCAAAGCTCCAAGAGCAATGAAATCCCCAGGAACAGACCAGGATCAGCATACTCAGGGGATGGTCCCAGGAGGGACCACAGGGCCATCCCCACATCCGTCTGTGACCCTTGCCTGTGACAAAGGGGGAGAGGGAATGCAGAGAGGGAGGAGGGAGAAAGGAGAGAGGGAGAGAACTGAGAGGGGAAGGAGAGGAAAGAGGGCAGAGAGAGAGAGGAGAAAGGCAGACAGAGGAAAAGATGCCCTTCCTTTAGCAAGGCTCCTATGTTCAGTGTGAGGTAGGCACAGTCATGGCATGGAAGATGAAGTGGCCCTGGGGGACAGTTGGGAACAGCTGTCAAATTCCTCCAGGTCCTGTGGGTCTAGACAGGCCACTTCCCCTGCGTCCTGAACCCTCAGGGTTACACCAGGAAGACAGATGGAAGCCTAGGCCACAGGCATGCATTGGGTCTTTCTCACTCAGCTGAGGGCACCAAAAGCTGCTGAAGATTGCCCCCTCTCTCATCTTTCTGAAGTGGGCAGCTGCTGCGGGGGGTGACACTTGAGGCCATGGCTCTTCTCAAGCCAGAGTGAGGAACCACAGGTGGAGCTCTGACATCATGTGCGTCATTCGGAGGAACAGCATGGGCGAGCTGATGTCAGACAGTATACAGGTCCTCAGAGATCAACACGGAGCTACCCTGGGACCCAACCGTTCTATTTCTGGGTATCTACCCCAAAGAACCAGAAGTGGAACTCAGCTGGATTTGCACACCCACGGTGACATCAGCACTGTTCACATTAGCCCAACAGTGGAGGTTAGCCACAGGTCCACCAATGTGAAACGGACACAGCGCATGGTCTGCTCCTCAGCGGAACACTATTCACCCTTAAAAACAGAGGCCCTAGCTGGGCGGAGGTGCACACCTTTAATCCCAGCACCTGGGAGGCAGAGGCAGGCGGATCTCTGAGTTCGAGGCCAGCATGGTCCACAAAGAGTCCAGGGCAGCCAGGGCCACAACGAGAAACCTTGTCTGGGAAACAAACAAACAAACAAACACACACCTGGAAGCGCTTATGATACAAATTGGATCTTGTGCTAAATGAAATTAGCCTTTCAGAGTACAGTCACACCTGCTTTAGTCCTTACCTTCCTAAGTTCACAGAGACCGGAAGTAGAGCCGTGGCTTCCGGAAGGGATGTGGGCTAAACTTAGCTGGTGGCTCCAGGTCCGCTGTTCACGGCTATGTCGGCAAACTTTGTGCGGATTTTGCCACAGTTTAAAATCCTGTAAATGTTTTAGGATATGTGGCGCTTCACGCAGAGCCGTGGTCACCCAGGAGCAAACAAATGGCAAGGTCCACCCTCGGCCTCGCAGGACTTGGAGTCGGCAGTCCCCGGGAGCAGCCACCAGGGGGAAGCGTGCGCCTGTTGATTGTGGCCACTTAGCAAGGCAATTGTCCTGGATACGCAGCGGGGTTTTTTTTTTTTTGTTGTTGTTGTTTTTTACAGCCGTGGGCACTGCTGGGTGGAAGAAGAAATTTGGTGGCAGGTGGCATTAGGGAAGGATTCCTAGAGGAGAAATGATGAGGAGTGATAGGGACTAGACCTGGACGCACCAGATAGGCTTTTCAATCGATCACCGCCACCATCCATCTCATACTGAGTACCTTCCGCATGGTGAGGACATTCTCCACCTCCTGCACCCATTCTCTTACGGAGTCCTGCAGCCACATTCCCACTTGTCAAGGAGAAAGCTGAAGATCAGAGAGGGTGTGCTACTCTCTGGAGATCACACAGCGAGTAAATGGAAAGGTGTTTTTTTGGTTTTTTGGTTTGCTTTTTAATCCAGATCGTACAACCCTATTCATTTTGTGGTCGTGTAGTCTGTCCAGAGATGGGAGAGGGAACGAGGAATGGGAACCATCTGGGTGCAGGGTTGGGGCTCTGGAGAGAGAGTGCTGTGGGCTGGGCTAGGTCACCTACAGTCTGGTACCGTCTCAGAGCCGTGTCTGGCTTGATTTCAGCTGAGGAGTCCCTGGCCTGTGACAACCCGGGGCTGCCTGAGAACGGGTACCAGATCCTGTACAAGAGGCTGTACCTGCCTGGAGAGTCCCTCACCTTCATGTGCTACGAGGGCTTCGAGCTCACGGGCGAGGTCACCATCCGCTGCATCCTGGGACAGCCGTCCCATTGGAGCGGGCCCCTGCCCATCTGTAAAGGTAAAGAGACCTAAGGAGCCAGGGTCAGGGCTGACTCCAGGAGAACCTGAGCTTGCCCTGAGGGTGGGCTTCACGGAATCCAAATCCAGTGGCGGTGTGTGTGGTCTGTTTCCTTCCTCTTGTTCGTCTATTTGTTTCTTGAGACAGGGCCTCATGTAGCCCAGGCTAGCCTTGAACTTAGCCAAGGCTGGCCTTGAACTCCTGATCCTCTTGCTTCTACTTCCCAAGTGCTGGGATTGCCAATTCTTGATGATTTTTGTTGTTGTTGTTACTATAACAAAATATCTAAGAATGGGTAGATTTGTTTTGGTTGTTTTGGGGGTTTTTTTTTAGTCTGTTTGGCCCAGGCTTGTGGAGTCCACAGCAGGACTCTGTACCAGCAGGGGATGCATGCTGCCTGCTAACCCAGCAGGGCCACCCTATGGTGGGGCAGAGAGAGCATGCCAGCTCTCACAGGGCCTCTGAAGCCCAGCCACCACCCAGGGCCCCCTCTGAAACCTGTAAGCCTCGGCACTACGTCTCTAGTTGAGGACTGCTAGCTAGGCTTCTCAGCTGGGCTGTTGTCACTACTCAATGGTGACAAAGTCAAAGTCTAATCCGGGGTCCTGGGGCTAGATAGAACTTTGGTGCAGTCTTAACCTCTCAAGCCTTCACTTCCAGGCTCCGCATCCCGAGTGCCCTGGTTGGGGCAGTTCATTGCTCGCACAGCACACTCACTGGCTTTGCTGACAGAGCATGGGGTATCATCCCCAGCACTGAACTTCAGTGTTTTATAAGAAATATAAGTTTATGAAAATAATCTTATGTAGAGGACTGATCCCAGTTGGTAAATATGGGAAATGGATTTAAAAAAAAAAAAAAGGTGTGTGTGACGTGGATTTCAAAGCAGGTTCACCCCACTGCAGTCAGCGGCAGGGTCTTGAGTCATACCTCCTTGGAAACAATATGGAGGACCGTGTGGTCGGGGGTGGAGTGACGTCACACACCCAACATCCCAGCAGTTGGGAGGTGGGTGCTGAATGTTCAAGGCTAGCACTAGAGGCCATCTCAAAAAAAAAAAAAAAAAAGTTAAGAGCTGTGAAGGAAGCTGAAGCCACCGCTGGAACCCACGTCCACTGTGTGGCCTTCCAGGCCTTGACACTCCTCTCTGAACCCATTCACTCATCTGTAAAATGGTTCTGAGAGTCAGCAACCACATTTGCCAAAGGAGACTGGCAAGGGGCAGGGGGAGGGGGTAAGCACGGACTCCTGGCCTGATACAGAACACGTGGCATGTGCCATCACCATCCTGACACTGCGGCTGCTTGCCCATCTCGTTCATCTCGCCACCTCGGGAGGTACTGTGGGGAGCCATCCTGCGGGACACCAGCAGCACCAGCCTTGCACACTCGGGCTTTGGAATGTGGGCCCATCGACCTCTGCCTCAGCGCTGACGCTGCTTCCTGCTTTCTGTTTCAGTTAATCAAGACAGTTTCGAGCACGCGTTAGAAGGTGAGTCTCCTTCTGTCTTGAAAGTTCTAACGTATCAGGCAGCTGTGTCAGTCGCTTTTTCCGGGGCCTCTGGAAGTAGCTGCTAGGGCTGGAAAGGATAGGCAGTTAAGAGCCTGCTTAACTTAGGTCCCTAAGTATAGCCCGAAGGGATTTGACAGTGGCAGTATGGTCAGAGAAGCCTGTGAAGCCCTGGCCATGCCAGACGGCTTCTAACCAATGGTGCTATGGGGATGAAAGAAACTCACCTCACATCCTGGGCAGAACATCCTTGGGGCCACAGAGGGAAAGGCGGCTGAGAGCATCCAGAGCCCTGCCTCCCTCTGCCTCTGCTCCCTGGCACAGCCCCCTGTCCTTCTCCCGAGTGTGGTGTGTTCTTGTGGTCAGGTAACAACAGCCAGCCAGGATTCTCTTGTGTTTTAGATTCCTTCCTTCAGTTCCTGTCTTAGTTGCCTGTCTCCTTGCTGTGAGGAGACTCCTGACAAAGGTAGTGTAGAGGAGGGAGGGCTAACTGGCCCTCACAGGTCCAGGGTACAGCCTGTCATGGAGGGGTGGCATGAGGCAGCTAACTCCCACCCACCCACCCACCCACAGTCAGGAAGCAGAGATGGACGCCGGTGCCCTGCTCACTCCCTCCTTTGTGTTCAGTCAGGGACTCCAGCCTGTGGGATGGAGCTGCCCACATCTAGGATGGGTGTCCCCTCCCCGCTTAGACCTTTCCAGATTGTGTCACAGACACACATCCAGAGGTGTGCCTGCTAGGGGGTTCCTGATCCAGTCAAGTTAAGATGAAGCCTCTCATAGGTGAAACAGCCTGCCTTCAGCACCATGTCCATTTGGCTCAGGACAGGACGGTGGGTACAGATGGCAATGGCCTGTTTGTCTCGTTTAGAAAAAGCCAACAGCAAGTCCAACAGCTGCTCCCATTGTCTCTAGCACCATTGCTGTCGTTCTGACGACATGCGGCCGGCAGGGCGTCACGCTGAGTGAACTGCAGGTGCCCAGCTGGTGTCCACACAGCACTTTAGCCCAGCAAGGACGAGAAGGGGACAGAGATCAGTGTGGGAGGAGAGTGGGTCAGCCATTCATTCACCTAGGGAAGTAGCGTGCTCCATGCCCCCTCCAACACATGCTCTGTTTGGGAATCCCCAGCTGCCTTTTGATGTACCTTAATCGATGGGAAGCCTACACACACACACACACACACACACACACACACACACACACACACCGGGGCCCCTGTGCCCAGGAAGTGTGACTGAAGCCAGGCCCCTGGCTGTGTGTGTTCATTGTGGAGGTCAGGACTGGTTATTTTTGCCCATGTAGGAAGCGGCTAATGGGTGATAGACAGAAGGGTAGCTGAAGTTTGTGAGGCATGGCCGTAGAGAATGGCAGAGGAGGTCAAGCTTCTAGAGGCAATATGAAGAAAGAGGATCCACCCTCTTTCTTTGAGAAGATCTGCTCCCAGCTCCCAAGATAGCTGCCATAAACTCTGTAGTTGCCATGTGTTGGGGGTCGGCAGAGCCGTCCCCGCTGCCCTGTCCCTCAAACCAGGACAGCTTCTCACAGGGGTGCTCAGAGAGCGAGGCAGGATTGTTCCAGACTTTTGTCCAAGTCACCCCCTGAACTGAATTTTAACCAGATTTCTGCCCTCTCCACAGCCCTCTTAACAGGCCTGGAATGACCAGGGTTCAAACTGGTTCTCAGCCCCCCTCTGGCTACCACAGCTGAGGATGACTCTTAAGCTCCCTAGCAAGGGCCAGCATCCAGCCTCTGCTCTCTGCCCCTGTCCCTCCATGGCTGTCCGGTGTCTAAGGCTGTGGGACATCAGCTAGGGAGGGCACTCATGGGAGGGCCAGGGTCCCGGTGGGTGTGGAGCCGGTGGGAAGCAAGAGCCTCAGTGGCTTGTGTGCTCAGTAGCAGAAGCGGCAGCAGAGTCCTCACTGGAAGGTGGGAACATGGCACTGGCCATCTTCATCCCGGTCCTTCTCATCTCCTTGCTGCTGGGAGGAGCCTACATCTACGTCACGAGGTAGGTGGGGTTGTTCCCCTGTGGCTTCATGGTGACAGTCACTTAGCAGATGCACAGTGCTGTCCCAGGGCTTGGTCCCAGATGCTCAAGATCACAGCACTCTCTGAGGACAGGCACACCCACCGCATGGTTTCAGAGCCACTGCCACATGCCAGCAGCCTCTGGGCTTGGGGACCATCCTGGTGAAAAGAGCAGACTCCAGAGAGGAAAAGTAGCTGATCTCCAAAGCACAGGAAGAAGGCGGGTGACAATAGCTGAGAGACAGAACAAAGCCTGGAACGGAAGCTGTGTGCCTGGCAGGCAGGGTGGAAGGGTCCACGCTGGGGATCATGAGTGAGGTGGGAGGCCGCCAGGCATAGTGAGTGTGTGAGAGGCTGCCCTAGGCTCCATGCCTGCCTTCTGCTAGGGGCAAGGTGCAGTCCCGGGAGACTGGGCTCCGGGAGCAAACGGACATATAAAGTACTTCACAAGCCAAAGCAGTTTGGGCTCTGCCATTCCAGGGGTGAGGGGAGGTAAAGGTGGCTTGCCGCAGGCCTGTGGGGTGATGAGTGGACGTCTGTGGGACCCCCACCCACTCAGGGCTGTGTCCACATGCCGCATGCCCTTCACAGAGACTCCTGCAGAGCCTGCAGGCCAGCAGGGCCGGCGTGCGACTCAAGCTCTGCTGTCTGTCCTGCAGGTGCCGACAATACTCCAGCCTCCGCCTGCCCCTCATGTACTCCCACCCCTACAGCCAGATCACCGTGGAAACTGAGTTTGACAACCCCATCTACGAGACGGGGGTAAGTGGTCCCACTGCTCTGCTGGAGGGCTCCCCCTTGCCCACAGCATGGCTGCCAGAGGGGACCACTCAGGGGCCCTGCCTCGTCCCTAGTTAATCCCCCATTGAGCAGAGTTCCGGGAGAAGCTAGCCATGTCCGCCAGTGATTAGACCCCAGCTGGGGGGCATCAGGAGGCAGTTGCTGTGTCTGGCTGAGCTGCATTTGAAAGCAGCATGGGCTGTTCTGCACCTTGCAGTGCAGGCTCCTGCAGGACAGCAGGGAAACACACACACACACACACACACAGTACCAATGCTGTAGCCCCACCTCACTTACACACAGGCCTGTGATCTGAGAGAGACTCCCCGTCGGGAAAACCTCACAGGGCACTCTTCCGCAAACCTGGACAGCCCAGATCGCTCACTCTTTGGGGCCTCTGGACCCATCAGGAGGTGTAGGGTGTGTTGACTTGCGAGGCCGCTCACAGTCCGCTTCTCCCGTGAGGAGGAGGGGGAGCACGCCTGCGAGTGCCGGGCTCGTGCACTGCAAGCACGGACTCCAGAGTGCTGCACTGGGTGGCCTTGTCCACGCTAGACAGTGGGGCTCTTTCGGCTCCCTCGGAAACTTTCGGCGTCACCGAGAGCTGCAGCTGTGGTTGTAAAGCTGGCTACAGGTACGGTCTCTCGCTCCAGTGAGCACAGAAGCCTGGCGGGGCACACAGACATCCACAGCGGTATGTGATGCACCATGTGACGGGCAATGTGACCCCCCCCCCGACTCTACTCAGACTCAGGAGGACTCAGGTCCAGAGAGATGAAATCAGCTCAGAGGAGGTGGTACCCAGCCAGGAGACAGAAATCCAGCTTGACCTCACACCCTGAGCGCTCACGCTCTCTCGCCCTCACACCTCCCCGAGTTTCAATGATTAGTTATCATCCTTAAGGACCGTGAAAAGCTAGATGGGTTCTACGGCTGCATGGTGGGGACCCCTGATGGGGCTGGGGAGTCAGTCAAGCTGAGGTAGAGATGTGGGTGGAAGCTAGAAGATGTCAGGCATGTGGAAAGGTCCATGGGTACGTATGGGGAGCCGCCAGGCCTAGGGCTGTGAGTCATGCCCTGACCTGTAATTCTCCCTGCTGTTAAGAAATGGGCAAGCCTGTACCTTGTCCATGCTGGCCTGCCACGGCTCCCCCTTCTTTGATCTCCCATGTGAAATATCTCCTCTGTGAACACTCTGCTTCGTGGCTCACCAGCCAGAGCCACAGGTTAGCCAAGGGTTGGCCAGGGAGGGACTCATGCCATCCTGGCTCCCATGATTGCTTGGACAGGGAGACTTGTGGGTAGCAGTGGAAAAAGAGGCCGTTTATCTACAGAAACAGACGAGCTTGGAAACAGGCCAGAGTTGGATTGGCCAGGGCCTGTGACCTCTGATGGTTCCCTTACACCTTGTAGAAGGACTCTGTGCAGGCCGTTTTGTTCCCTGAAGCCTAGGGAGGATGTCCAGTCATCTGAGCTTGGCTTCCTTCATCTCTGTCTTGATGTTTCTGTAAGCCCCCACTCAACCCCCCCCCACTGCCGCCGTATTATCCTACCTACCCAGGCATGACCTCTGGAAGATGGGGACCATGAGACCACCTCACATTCTGCCCGTGACACTTCCCATCAGCCAGGAAGTGTTGATGTGACCATAGCTGTGTTAACCTCACAGGAAGTGACAGTAGCACTTCCAAGGCAGAGCCTGTGGCTTCATTGGCTTCTGGCCCTCACCTGTTCTTGGGGACAGCTCAGGGAGCCGTGGAGAAGGGGGACCAGCCACAGCTGACTGTTCTCCTTAGTCTGTTCTCAGATCATAGGTAGAGGTCTGACTGGTGGAGACCGCACTCAAAGGATGGGTTCCTATTGACTGCGGAGGCTCCAGGTACCTTAGAGTCAGTGCACACATGCCTTGGTCAGCCTGAGGCAAAGGGGGTGGCAGGTGCCGGTAGCATCAGTGCAGTGGGGTTCCTAGAGGGGCAGCTTTTGCCAGCTCTGCTCCCCTGGCCCTTCCACCTCTACGGTCAGTGTTGGCGGGACATCAGACCCCAGAAAATGCCATAGCACATCCACACACACACTTGTAACAGTGAATGAGCCCAGCAGAACTGCAGTGTAGAGCCAGGGACACGGGGAGGGGTGACACCCTGGAAGCCTTGGGATGTCACTCTGCCACTCGGGGCTTGACCCGCGTGTGCCACTCTGTCCTGCAGGAAACGAGAGAGTACGAAGTCTCCATCTAACAGGAGCTGCCCTGGAAAGGGGGACGTTAGAGACGGACATGCAGACGTGAACTGTCAGGACCTCCTCACACATCCATCAGAGACCTCGTGTGGCATTGGGCTGCAGCCCCGCGTGGCTGCCATCTTTCCTCTACACTTTCCACTCAAAGATTCACTGTTTCTTTGCTGTACTTACTATATTTGAAGTTGAAGGCATTGAGATTCGGTGAGTTCGGAACCTAGTGGCTGCAGCCAAAGTCACATGACAGCCTCCATTCCCAAGGCAAGCTGAACAGCAAACAGCGGCAGGTAAAGACACAGTGGCGGACAGGTCAAGTTGGATCAGCGGTGCCACGCTTGGGCCCAGCACCCTGCATGGTCTTCAGCAACACACCACAGTGTACTCAGAACAGACGGGAGCCCTGGGTTATCATGGTGTCCCTTGCAGGGCTGCCTTGCAGTGGAATTCAGCCTGAGTACTTAAGGCCTGGTTATTCCCCCCCAAAAACAAATCTCTGTCCTCTTTTCCAATTTTAAAAGCTTCCGAAAGGGCTTAGCTCACTTTCTCCCTCCCACGCCCTTCTGAAGTCAGCAGAGATTTTCTAAACGTTCCCTAGGATCAAGGCATGCTCTGAAAGAGGAGGAAACAGCGCCTTTCTGAAAGCCCAAAGGACTGTCAAGGGTGAGGCGCAGGGGTCCTGGGGAAGGGAACCTCAGAAAGGGATGGATACCGGGTAAGTTGCCTATTGGGACCTACCATAGCTGGGCATGGTCGTCCTGAGTGGTGAGGGTCATAAATCCATGGGAAGAGTCACGAGGTCTGCTGGGGAGAAAGGGGTATCCTGACCTGAAAGCCAGGGATCAGCTCTGATTCTCCCCTGGGGTTCTAGACTGTCCTGGTCTTTGACATAGCCAGGAAAGGCAGTCCATCCGAGTCCAACTCTCCTTGCTCTCACACGCCCCTCAGCAGGGAAGGTGCTGAGAAAGAGGGCCCTCCCTGAGGCTCTGAGTGTCATCGGGGCCCAAGCAGAGGCCCCGTGGGCAGAGCAGAATGGAAACCACAGGATGCTAAGGCTCAAGGTCTAGCCTGAACCTCCGTAAAAACAAAATGTTTCCAAACAGTCAACCCTCCCAGCCTTCCGCTACCACTTCATCAGGGTTCTTCGATGGGCCGTGGCTCTCCAGAAGGCTACTTTCTAAGTGCAATCATGAGGAAGGTGCCAAGGCTAGGTGCTGGAGGAAACAGTGGGTATGAGGGGTGTGATCACTTGAGGGCCATGTGGTGACAGGGGACTCTCAGCAGCTCAGGCATTGGGGCACTTCAACATGAGGACTTTGTTTTGTGTTCTCCCATGGTTGTGTTAAACCCCTGGGTTTCAAAGGAGAGAAATCTCTTTCTGCCTTCTGGGGACAGGGAGAGCCCGTCCTCTCAGCCCTCATCCTGGCTAGGATGGATTTCTCTTCCTTCAGAAAAGTCCCCTGCATGCATGTGCCTGAGCACTGTGGCCAGGGTCATTTCTGGTCACCCAGCCCATCCACCCACAGAGGAACCAGAGGAGAAACCGAACAGGCTGTGGGGAGCAGGAGACCCTTGGGGAAAGACCAAACTACAAAATAATGTGGCCTTTTCTCCAGACGTAGAAGAACCTACTTAAGATGCTCCCAACCCTGGCCCTGGGCCACCTGCAAACTGTCCATGCCATTTGGTCTTTGTCCATGCTATGCCCCCGTGAAAGCTAAGCGCCTGCCCTCCACAGCGGCTGATGTGTGTGGCCCTTCTAACCCTGTTCCTTAAAGCTGGCCAGGTCATGCCTTGGCTACCAGTGGTGGGGGCGGGGGGGTTAAAATGTTGATTTTTTTTTTTTTTAAACAGGAGACCAATGTCTCGGTTCTGACTTAGTGGTGCAGTCCCTGTAGCCATGTTTTAAATGCTGTTCTAGCCTAGAGGTGGACTGTGCGAGCTCACCGTGTACACTGAGTGAAAGGAAATGCTGGTGTCTATTTTTTTTTAAATACCTGACTGTGTATTTGTAACATGTAAAGGTTTGGGGGGCGGGGAAACAATGCTAGCAGCAGTGAATGTATACGAGGCGTCTCCTGATGGTCCCTCCCTGTCTGTTTTTACAAGATGGAACTTTGAACCCACCGGGATTAAATTTTTGTTTCTGTGAACGGGACACACTCGTGAGCCCTCCCACAAGCAGCTCCCCATTCTGACGTCAGCGGGGAAGCACGTTTCCAAAGAGCAGGCCTCCAGAGCTCGGGTGCATCCTTCACACTGACTGACTCGAGCTGCACCCGTCAACACACACAGCTCCTTCCTCTCCTGCTCGAAGCTCATCCACCCCGCTCCCACCCTTCAGCTCCGTTTTTGGTAGACTTGTTTTGCCAGCATTGTATTCTGACCTCTTCTGGGAGGCCGTCTTTCCAAATGCTCGCACCCGAACCTTTGAAGCCAGCTCTTTGGAGAACTCACAAACCTCAGGGGACAACTCTGGAAATCCACACACAGCCCTGGAGAAAGAGAAAGGTTAAAGCCAGAATGGCAGCACCGCGGGGACTCCAACGAACCAATGGGTGGCTTCAGGAAATGTAGGCAAAACGACCTCTCCTTTGGTCGTGACCTTTCTGTGTCTTTGATGAGGCCCAGTGAGATGGCACTCCAGGTCCGGTCTTGTGCGGCCCTCGGCACCCGCAAAGGTAGGCGTCTTCTTGGATGCTTGCTTTCTCATTTATCATCAAACAATTAAAAAAAAAAAAAAAGCAGACTTTCTAAGCTAGAAAAAATGAAATGAAACCATTTTCCACTTTGTATATATTGCTGCTAATAAAACAGATGTAAAAGAATGGTGGATGTGGGGTTTGTTCCGAAACTCCTGGGTGACACTCAGGGCCATGTTTCCAGTTTCTCAGGGTTGTTCCTGGAGATTGGGGCCAGGCAGCAAGTGCTGGTACTTCAGATAGGGAGGCACGACCTGCCCTGTCTACAGTGGCCCTGGGCATGCTAAGGAATGTTTAGGACAAGTCCTGTCTGGGGGATTGCTACCAACATGGCCAGTGCCCCAGGCTCAGGTGGGCTCACCCCGAGAGACCCGCCTCTCAGAGCTGTGGAGGCTGCAGGTTCAGCATTAACATGGTGGTCTGTTCAGTTCCTGGTGAGGATTCTTGTTCTGGCTTAAGGGTGTCCGCTGTTAAAATACAGTCTCTACGTAGCTGAGGGGAATAGAGAAAGGAATTGGGGTGGGGGAGAGGAAGAGAAAGGTGTTGGTCTCAAGAAAATTCATCCCAGTAGACCCCAAGCTCAGGCATGATCTGCTTCCTTCAGTCCCAGAGGTCCCCAGGGCAGGACAGCATCAACTCTGCGGCTCTGCCACAAACATCCTGGTCCATTCTCATGCTCAAAGGAGGAAACAAACTTAGCTAGTGGCTCAGTGGGTGGAGCCATCAGACCTGACGTCCTTGTGCTGTTAGGTGTCCACACATGTAAACAGGCACACAAAGACAGTAAATGTAATTTTTAAACTTTTTTTAAAATTCAATAGACCAAAAATTTCAGAGCAGTCCATGAAGATAAACCTTTTTTCCTTCTGGTAATAATGTGTTCGAGTACTATATAATTTCTCAACTATGTTTTTCAAAAGAAGATACCAGATCAGTAACATGAGTAAAGAAATGTGTTCCTGTTGTTTGTTTCTTTGTTGAAACAGGGTCCCAGCCATAAGTCACAGTGAGCACAGCCTCAGACTGGGGTGTGGTTGATTTCATTTGCAACAATCCTGTCACCCATTTTCCCAGTCTTCCTCAGTCCTGGGCTTGTTTCCCCAACACTTGCTGGTCAGCATTCTCTGGGGAGTTTTCTGGAATGGGTGGGATGGACAGCAGTCTAGGAGAGTACCTGGTCTCCTGAAGAGGAGGCAGACCAGGCTGCTCCAGTCCCCACCCCCTTTCTCCCTACCTCGAACCCAGTCAGATGCCCTGGCCCACAGCAGTTCCTGCATGGAAGCAACAGCAGGACAACTGAGGTAAGAACACAGCGGGCAGGTGAGGAGGAAGAGCCTGCATTCCTTCACCCAGAGGAACAAAGATCTGACAGCACAGCGTGAGCCATGTTATCCTCAGAACACCATCCATTCTTTCAAGACAGGGTCTCTCACTGGCCTAGAGCTCGCCAAGCTTCAGGGATCCTCCTGTTTCTGCCTCCTCCATGCTTTTGTGTGTTCCCAGTAGCCCAGGCTTGGCTAAAACTGACAGCAATTCTCCTGCCTCAGCATCCTAAATGCTGGAGTGATAGCTGAGCCTCCTACTAAACCATTGCAGCATCTCTGAAGAGAGGGTTTTTGGCCTGGGGGGGAGACATTATGCCCCACAGGCCCCGGGAAGAAGCAGCTCATGGGTAGCCTCACAATCTAGACATTCAAGCCAGGAGTCACAGACCTGCCCTACACATACATGGGCAAGCAAGCATGTCAGTAAAGCTCATTTCGTGGAGTGTCAGGAACTGGCGTCCCTGGGAAGCCAGGCCAAGCCGTGAGTGTGGCTTAATATCAGCCTCTATTCTCGACTGCAGGCTCACACCAGCTGATGCCAAAGGAGCTTTGGTGTGCAGAGACTGCAGAAGAACATTTGGGAAGGACAGCCTGGCAGGGAGGGGCATGGCCAGGCTAAGGCAGAGCCCAGGCTCAGCGTCCCGCTGCTCTGGCAGGTACATAAGGATTCCCTGCAATAGGAACTCCCTTCTCACAGGCCTCCCTGCACAGAATGGAGGCCACAGAGCACAGAGGGTAATGGCTGTAGTTGATGTGAATGCTTCAGCGTGATTGCTGAAGGCTAGCCCAGGCGACGTGTGACCCAGAAGAGGGAAAAAAAATGAACCTCTGAATGTAGGAGGTGGAAACAAGAGCGTTGTCACAAGGCGGGGAACAGCATGGGCTCAACAGCAGGACCCTTCCAGGGAGAGGAGAGAAAGAGAATGAGAATATGGGAAAATACTGCCCATGTGCATGTGCCTGTGAGAAACCAAGGTCAGAGGTCAGAGCAGGGCAGGGCTAGAAACTGCAATCGAGAGAGGCTGCAGGTGATGGGCAGGCTCTGGGGGAAGGAGGTGAAGTGGATCGGGAGGAGGAGAGGATGGCAGCTGGTGCTACCACACCTCATGTTCTGGCCCCTGGAACATCCTCCCTCCTCACAGAAGCCATCGGGCCAACGCAGGTCCGTGCTCACTCACAAGGCCGTGTGTGGACCTGTGCCCACACCTCCTGTGTCACCAGAGAGTGTCATCGTGAGATGTGGGCCGGTTGTGCTCAGCAACCGCAGTTAATGACTGTGGAGCAAGGAGCTGAGTACACAGACTTCTCCTGTCAACTCCCCTGAGTGGCCTCACCTGTTTGGCTGCTCTTAGGTTAAGGCAGAGGCTCCTCAGGAGACCCGTGTGGTCACAGCCACAGAGCCAGTCTCCAAGATGACCCTGCTTCCCTGGCAATGGGCACAACTTAGTATCTTGACCCAGCAGCCAGGCAGCCAGCCCTGGCCAGACCTAGACAGAGACACAAGGTGTCACAAGAGAACCTGTGGGCCGAGCCATGGGGTCTGAACCCAGGGTGGTCTCCCAGTCACCTTCACTGTCCAGCCCCCAGGAGCTCAGGGTCCTGTAGGTGCTCGGCTCAGATGGCTGAGCTCCTACTCAGATACATCACAGGTGGGGGGCCTGTTTCTCTGTCCCAGGGGGCTTCATTAATGCTCCACCCTGGGCACTGTGGTTAGGGAGCTCCAGGGATGGAGCCAGTAGGGGGCGCTGCATGGCACACTGAAGTGCGCCCAGCTCTGTTTCTATGATGTCAAGTCTAATCTGAGGAAGGGAGACGATGAGCCAGGAGGCTAGCTTAGAGTCTGCCAGGACCAAAGGCCTGAGGCCAGCCTTGTGATGCCCCAGATGGTGCCCAGCAGGGGCCTGCATCCCAGAAATGGCTCTACTAGTCAGCTCTCCACTTTCACACCAAGCCTCCTCATCCCACACTCCAAACTTGAAAGCAGATCACAATAGGACAACATCTGGAATTAACCAAAATCCAAGCACCTGGGCACACCTGTGAGGGCTTTTCTTGGTTGGAGCAATTGAAGTGGGAGGACCCACGCTAAATCTGAGGGAAAGCCACCTTAATCTGGGCCACATCATCTGGTGGCTGCCTACATAAAAGCACATGGAAGAAGGAAGCTCTTGCCCTTTGCCTACTTGCATCTTCCCTGCTGCTGTGCATTCCTTCCCTGGCCTTAGAGCCTACGTCTTCAGGATTCTAACATACACTAAAGACCAACTGGTCTAACATATACTAGACACCCAGCCTCCTGGACTGAACAACAGTTAGATTCTTGGATGGCCATTGTTGGTCTAGCTGGGCCACAGCCTGTGAGACACTCCAATAAATACCACCCCACCCCATCCCCGAGTGCTTGCGTGAGTGTGTGTGTGTGCGTGTGTGTATACACACATTGTATTCTATCAGTTCTGTTACTCTAGAAAACCCTGAATTATACATCATTCGTCTCTACACTTTCCCTGTGGGGTGCTGGTTGTTTTCTGTGGATAATGACATCTGATGAAATGGATTCTATCCAATGAAGCAGAATCCTGTCTGGAGAAATGGCTGGCTGCCTTCCACTCTTGGCAGAGAAAGAGAAGCCAAGGTCATTGCACGCTCTCCCTTGCTCATGAAGCATGCTCCAGTTATAGATTGAAAAATATATATATATATATATATATATGCATGTATATAATCTAGAAAGAGAGACAGAAGAGAGAGATAAAGATACAGCTATAGACACATAAATAGAGATGATAGGGTTTTGCATGGCTGTCATAGACTCCTGGCTCCTATAGTGTTTTACTCACAGAGATTCACTTCTGGTCCACAAAGATGTTTAAGGCCCTTCTACACCCACCTCAAAAAATAAAAATAAAAATAAAAATAAAGCTGGACGGTGGTGGTGCACGCCTGTAAGCCCAGCACTTGGGAAGGCAGGGGCAGGCCCATCCATAAACCGTGTCTAAGATAGCCAAGGATACACTGAGAAACCCTGGAGTTGGCGTGTGGCTCAGTCTAGAGCATGTGGCTGTGTTGAGCCCATAGGAAAAGCTAACTTCTACTGAGCTCTCTTAACAGGGACAAGTGGGAAGCAGCGCGCCAGGCCCACCACAGGGAAACGCCTCTCGAGTCCTCAGCCCATTTCTGCCCCTGTACCTCAGTTTGTCCCAGTCTCTACTCTTCCCAGATTTAGGCATCCTCAGAACCAAGCTCTGGCCCTCTGAGCAGTCCTAGTCCACACTCCCAAAGCAAAACAGAAAAGGCAAGATGCATGATGGTTTAAAAATAATAATAATCAAAAAGCATGTAACTCTTTAATGTACCTTTAAATCTGGGGTGCCCAGCCATGGTTCTGTGCCCAGCCTGGCCACAGTTGTGGAGTGCCTGTCCATGGCTCTAAAGTACTTGTTCAGAATTTTGACATACCCGGTCATGGTTTTAGCCTGTCTGGCCACAGTTCTGGGGTGCCTGGCCATGGTTTGGGAGTATATGACAGACTGGGGTGTCTGACCATGTTTCTCGGGTACCTGGTCATGGTTCTGAAGTCCCTGGCTACTGTGCAGTCAGAGATGCGCATCAAGACTCAAGCTGGGCCAATGTTAAAAATGGAATTTGAATCATAGTAATACTGAAAGCAATGTTATTATTGGAAATTAAAAGCATTGTAAAACCACCTCACCTAGCCATCGCAGCTGTCGCCCATAAACCTGCAGTAAATGTCAGAAAAGATACGCAGGGAGAGGAACCCTTATTCACTGTTGG